GAATAGCTTCTTTTTTCTTTAAGGGTAGCTTTAAAGGGGGTTTGGTAAAAACATTGATCTTGGATGTGCTTCCTTTGTTAATGTATTCTTTCATCGAAAGATCTCTTTGTTTTAGATTATGGAGTTTGAAAGGCATTTCTTCTTCAACTCTCGTTTTATCTTATCCTAAGTTGTAATTTTGCTCTTACCCTTTCTTTCTCATTGTTTTTTCAAGTTCTCTAACCAAAGTGAGGCATGCTTTTGAAGCTTGATAGCCACCAACTTAACTTTACAATGTTTTGAAGCATCATGATATTCAAATGTACATTCCATCGTGTGTAACCAATCAAAAAATTCTTTTAGCTACATCTTGCCTTCAAACTTTAGAATCTCCATCTTCGAGTTGAACATGTTATGTTAAGGTTGGTTTATACATAGGTATTCTCTTACATTTCTGGAAGGTGGTGGAGTGTTATTTTTTGAATCATGGCTATTTGTATTATGGAAAAGGTTGAATTTATCATCTTCACCACCATTTCTCTTTTCATGTTGTTTTGCCTCATATTTTTTGTGGTTATGAAGCTATTGTTGTAGTTATAGAATTTGTTGTCGCATTTCTTAAGGACAACATCGTTTGGGTTTGTTTTAGCGACTACTTCAACATCAATTGTCAGGCTTGATGATGATGAATTGCCATAGCTCTTAGACCAATTTGATATCAAGAAGTGATGGTTGAGATGTTGAAGATTAATTACAAATAAAAAACTCACAAAGAAGACAACTCACAAGAATGTGAATAATAACAAAATATTGTTATTGGAATAAAGGGATAAAAGTTCACCACCAAGACAAAACATTAAGGGATACAGAAACATCACCTTAAGAATTCTAATCAAGGATGTAAAACTATAAAAGTTCACCACTCTAGGAAATCCACCTAAGAGATATAAAACTTGAAAATAATCTAACAGATTACTTAAAGATAAAACAAACTCTACTCTCATACAAAAAATAATAGAAAATAAATAGGCTTAGAACATCTTTCCAAGCATGAGAGCTTTAAAAATTGCCTTTTTTGGATTGCTGAATTGATGAGATTGCCTTCAATCTTATTTTACTAAGATGGTGCCTAAAATCATAGGATTGACATGTGAACACAATAATCTGCAATGTAAACATAATTAGCTGCTAACATTTACAAGTGAACACAATAATTAGCTAATGCCTAAAATTATAAGGTTTGCATGTGAATACAATAATCATAATTAGCTGTCTATTTACTCATGCAAATTACAACCTTGCATATAAATAAATCATGAATTTGACCATAATCCCATCCATCTTCATTCTTTCCTTTTCTAGCCAATGTAAACACAATCTCTTCATTCCTGCCCACCTTATTTCTACATATGCTTAATGAATTTGGACCAAAGATAGGCCCATCTTCACTTGGATTAAACTTCCCTTAGTTTCAACCCAAATTGTAGAATCTGTAAACACTCCTGTGTCAGTGAAGAGGCTTAATGCCTTTTTGTAGAGATGAAAAGAGATGGAGAAAAGTTGAATAGGTCTTCATTTGCTTGTGTCTTGAGCACTTGTGCCCATTTTGCTTCTTTAGAATTGGGGAAACAGTTACATGGGCTGCTGGTTAAGCTAGGATATGAAAGTGGTTCCTTCGTGGGAAATGCCCTTCTTTTAATGCACTGTAAGTGTGGTAGCATAGAAGAAGCTTGCAGTGCATTTGAAGAAAAAATGGAGAAGGTCATTGCCTCGTGGAATACCATGATTGCTGGTTGTGTAAGACATGGATTTGACTCACTTAGCAGTAGTTCTGGAAATCCATGTCTAACAGAAAATCCAACTCTTCTAAATAGGCATAGATTTTTTGAGTCAATGAAGGCAGCAGGTGTCCAAGCAGATGATACGACTATGGTAATTATTATTAACTATTATATTTGAGCTATGTTTGGAAATAGTCAGGACACATGTTTTGAGCATTAAATCCATTTTCTTTTAATACAGCATTCCGTGCATGCAAGATATGATGTCAACCTAGCAACTAACATAAAAATAGCATAATACCAAAAATAAAAAATACATACTCTACCCTAGTGGTTGGACTTGATGTTTAGCAGGGATGAGAGTTAATATGGCTTTCAAATAATTGTTGTATAAAATCTCTAGACTTCCATAAATGCAACTTATAGTCTTTCTCAGAACTGGAAGGTAAAGTTTTAATCTGACGCAACAACTATTTTCAATTTTCAATAATGGCCTTCTTAGATGCAATTGTCTAGGAGAGGCACTACAACTTGATATCTTCATATCCAGAAAACTCTTTAGATGTGAAATCCTTTCCTTCTGGATTATATAGTTCCTACTTTTTTAATTTTATAGTGTATCATTTCAGGTTGTGTATTGTCTGCTTGTAGTCATGCTGGCTTAGTGGATGGGGCATAGAATATTTCTACTCGATGAACCAAGATTATGGTATAAAAGCTAAATCACGACACTATACTTGCACGGTTGATCTTCTTGGCTGAGCTGGCTGATTGGATAAGGCCCAGAAGTTGATCAAAAACAAGCCCTTTGAACCAGATGCAGCAACATGGGGTGCATTACTTGGTGCAAGCAGAATTCATGCCAATACCAAATTAGCTGAAATGGTTGCTATGTTGACTTTTGAAATGGAACCTGAAAATGGAGGAATGTATGTTCTTCTCTCAAAGTTATATGCAGCTTCTGGTAGATGGGCTGATGTTAGTAAGATGAGAATGAAAATGAGGGATACTGGTGTGAAGAAAGTACCTGGGTGAAGTTAGCTTGAGGTACAGAACAAGATCCATACATTTTCAGTTGGAGGCTCATGCCACCCAGATAGAGATAAAATCTATGCCTATTTAGAAGAGTTGGATTTTAAAATGAAGCAAGAGGGCTATGTTTCCTCTACAAATTTGATTTTACATGATGTAGATGAGAAAGATAATGAGCACATGCTCAAGTATCACAGTGAAAAATTTGCTGTGGCATTTGGTATTCCGTCTATGCCTGCTGGGAGACCAATACGTGTGGTTAAAAACCTACTTGTTTGTGAAGACTGCCACCATGCCATCAAATACATATCAAGATTGTGGGCCGGTTGATTATCTTAAGGGATTCCAACCGCTTTCACCATTTTAGGGAGGGCTCATGTTCTTGTGGGGATTATTGGTGAGAGTTGATTAGAAGCTGTTTTAAGCGGAATAACTGATGATTGATGTCACTGATTTACATGTCTTTAATCATTATTTCTTTTTTAAATATACATTTTTGGAATCTTGTTAGATGCTTCCAAGTTAGCAAAGCATAAGGTGGAAAGTTCTGCTGCATGTGGAAAGAGCCGACTTCCTTCAAGGCTTCATCCTAGAAGTGTAGTAACTTCAAGATTATCATGATATTTTTGTTGAATTATAGTTGATTATTTGGAGCCAATGCTGGCCCATATCAAAAAATAAGAATCAATAAAATTTATTGCATTTTGGTCGTGCCTTTGGTATGATACTATAAAGAAATGCATTGATCTGTGCATTAATTGTGGAAACGCCTGTTTGGTGTACTTGGCATGTGGGACAAGATGGAGTATGCTCCGGCTTCTAGCTTGCTTTAAATCTGCATTAGCTTGGGGATCAACATAGGATAGAATGGAGAGAAACTGTTGGCCAGTTCTCTAGTTTAAATGGATGAATGCTTATCCTTTAAAAAGCCTTTTGCATTATGCTGCGCAAAGAAAACTTTTCTCAGGTATATTGATTTTTTTTTTTTAATATGAGCCATGACTCCTTTGTTAGCATCTAATCATTGAACTGTCATTTCTTCTCACTAGCGCCATGTGTCACGGACCTAAAAGAGACTCCTGAATCCCACATCGAACATAATAAGAAGATTACTAGAGTATAAAAGGGTTCACATCATCTCCGTCTTGTGAGACACCTTTTGTAGGACAAAATCGTGAGATCAGGGGGACCAGAGCGGATAATACCTCACAAGGGTGTGAACCGTGAGGGTCAGACTGATTCTGGACGTCGGAAGGGTGAATGCCCGGGTCCCGAAGCCTCGCGGGTTCGGAGCTTAAGTCTCGATCCGTGACAAGTGGTATCAGAACCAACCCTAAACCATTCGATCTACGCCAAGCGCCTCGAGAGAGGTAGGCAGGGTGACCAGCCTCATGATGCCCGACAGGGTTACCAACCTCCGTGACGAGGGCATCACAAGAGAATGTCACGGACCTAAGAGAAAGTCCTGAATCCCACATCGAACATAATAGGAAGGTCACTGGGGTATAAAAGAGTTCACACCATCTCCGCCTTGTGAGGCGTCTTTTGTCCTTTTGTAGGACAAAACCGTGAGGCCAGAAAGTCCAGAGCGAACAATACCTCACAATGTTATGAACCGTGACGGTCAAGCTGATTCGGGACGCCGGAAGGGTGAATGCTCGGGTCCTCGAGCCGCGTGGAGTTCGAAGCTTAAGTCTCGACCCGTGACACATGCAGGTTGAGGTGGGATATTATTACTTGACGTTAAGAACAGGTTTTAAGTTTCAGATCCTTCACGTATAAATTATCCATTCGCCTTTCTCAATCTTATATTTTGGAGTTGTGGACAGATGCAAGGGCAAGTCCAGCGAAATTTCTTTGCAATCCTTTCCAAAAGAGTTTGAGCTGCCACACCACATGCCTTTGGGACAGAAAAGATTAAAAAAAAAAAAAATGCAAAATGATCGGATCAGTTAACAAGCATGGATTATAGAGGGACCAAAGGTATTCATGATAGATTAAGCAGATTCCATAGTAAGTGCTTGTGAATGCCATTGTAACTTATTCTATCTCATCCATAATATATTTTACCTATTATTTCTCTATATTCTTTTATTCTCCAGTAGTTTTTTTCAAATTGTTCTGTTAATGCTTATTTATGGCAACCTAATCTACAATCATCTATGCAGCTGTCACTTCTTTGCATGATGAAAACTAGAAACCATAGTTCCAATTCAGGGAATCTATTGCACAGCTCTCTTCAAAAGAAATAAAGTTTTGACTCACTTAGCAGTAGTTCTTGATGTCCCACACAAGGGGGGCACTGTTCAAACATTTTTGCTTTCTAACTTCTTTGTTTTTCCAATTCATATTCTTAAATTCCATGATTGCAAAGTTGTTTTCTAGAAAATTAGCACCATTGATTAATATAGCCAAACACCAGGTTGGTCAAACTAAGAGAAAACTTTAATCAATATGATTTACCATCATAAGCCTCAGTAGTTTCCATGCTTGCATCGTAAATTTACCATTTCATTGTTAATTTACATAGGAAAATTTTATAGATGCACAGCCCCCGGCAAAAGGTAAGTATAAAATAGCTTAAGTTTCTATTTGCTGTGTTTATGCAAATCAACCCTAGTTTTCCTACTTGCTGCAAATTGCACAACATATTTCTTCAAAAACTTACATAAAGGTCCACCAATTAGTGAATTAAAATCTTTGATTTTGAAACCACTTGGAGACTAGAGAAGACAGCATCTTATAGAAACCTACAACCAAGCATTAGAAAATAGTAAAAATATTAGTGAGAAACCTAGGATTTTATGGTAAAATACTCAATCAAAATGGAATATTCATGGCTGGTCATCATATGGAGTCTAGATGTCTTAAATCAAGTTCATATAACATTGGAATTTATGCCCTTGCACTCAAGATAAGTACTAGGACATAATCAAAATGGAGAAAGACAAACCTACTGCTGATGAATTCGCATTTGTTTCTGTTTACATTTCTCATCCTGCAGTTTCCGCTTGTTCTTCCGATTAGCATTAGCACTTGGACCCAGAGAATGTAAGTTGGCAAAAAAAGACTATTCACATAGAAAATGAAGTTAATAGCTTTAGGTTTCATTGCACATGACATTAGCATCAATATAGATTTTAGGAGAAGATGTATTTTTATTCTGAAAGGTTATTTCCTAGGGTTTGGTTCAGGTCATTATAATATTTATAGCCTTGCCTTCTTCTACCCTAGTTTTTAACATTTGTAAAGAGATGGTTGTCTTACCGAAACATTAACCGGATGTTGTGAAGGTCCTACCGGAACTACAACCAGTAGCAAATTATTAGTTCACCATATATATTACTCAACATTTTAGAACTTCACCAACATAGCTAAAACCAATATTACCTAGACCTTGAGCGTTGCTCTCATTGATGCTGTTGTCATTAATGTAATTCCTTCCATCACGAGCTTTGCTTTTGGAATTGATTATTTGAAGAAGAATTCCTGAATCAGATCCTGCACCACAATTTTTTTTTTTTTTTTTTAATTTAGTATAATCTGAAGCTTTTTCTTTTCCCCATTTTTGTTTAGAATGGAATCAAATCTACTTTCACTGTATGCATTACACAAGCACAAAGCTAAGAGCTATATGTAAAATCTGGCTTTGGGAAAGTACCAAGAAGAGACTCAATGGCGATTCGTGTGACTAACTGTTCTGCTTCTTTCTTGCTTCTGGCAACCTCACCAGTGTAAGTTTTACCATCAAAAACCAATGAAGATGCATAAACTGGGTGCAACTTATCCTGTTGGATAGTTGTATATTTAGGACTTGTTCGATTTGTCCTAAAAGCAAACTCTTTAAGGATTGATTTGCAACATTTTGGATCCTAAACAGTGGTGGATCCAAAATTTCAAGTTAGAAAAGATCATACAAAAATAAAATCTATAACTTTGAGAAATTTTGTTTAGCATATAATATGATATTATTTTATCAAATATTATGAAAACATATGTGAAATATAACATTTCATATTGTAATTATAAACAACGTGCATAAAAAAATTCAAATATTAAAATAAAAAATAAATCTATTAAAAATGAAGAAAACTCAAATATTTTTATTTAAAATAGATCAATGATATATAATTTGTTAAAATTTTCAAAACTTACATGTAAATAATACATTCAACAAGCTCTTATTAAATTATAGTTTTAGTTTGGATTTTTAGTCGTAGTTCTCATGATGTATAAACTGTTTTTACTTGCAAATTTTACAAATTTTAGTTAAAAATTTATATACATTTATCATTTATTTAGTATTAAAGTATTTATACTATTTAATTAATGACACTGTAAATAAATTATTTTATAGAAGAAATTTTCATTATTTACAAATATATTCAATTATATTAAATTTTGTATTTTAGTGAAGACAGTTTAAATTTTTATTAAACTTAAAAAATAAATAATGTTTTTAAGACTTAAAAAAATTTTAATAAGTTAAAAGTTTACAAATACAAAATTAAAATAATTATATTATCTTTAAGGGGACCATTCATTTATTTTGAAAAATATATTTAAAAAATTAATAGTTAGCATTAGATAAACTTAAAAGAACTTTTAAAAAATTCTCAGGACCATGGTCTCCTCATTCCCTTATGTGGATCATAAAGTTAGAGAAAAATTCTCATATTTGAGTTCGACAGCTTTAGATTAACAAGAATAAAATAGTTGCTGATACTACAGTACAGACCTCATAAATGGTGGAAAAGCTTGGTTTATCCTTGGTTGAACTTGTTTGTTTGATAGTTTGAAGAGCAATTTTGGCAACATTCTGCTCAGCTTCTTTCCTGTGCGCGAAAGTTAGCTTGGAAGTGTAAGTGGTTTGGCCGACTCGCACGGTGGCCCTGAACTTTGGGGCATGTGGAAATCCTTCACTGCTGCTTTCATAAACTGGGAGTTGTAACCCTGATTTCTGAGCATATTCTTGCAAACGATTTTTTTGCAAGAGATGCTCTGGTAATCCTGACATATCTTCAAAATTAATACTTTTTCTGAACATCAAATATTAATAAGCATGCTTAGAAGAAGACTGAAACAATTAACAAACCTTTGATCATTTTGGCCTTTCTGTTGGGTATGTTTTTCTTTTGCTTCAACTCTTAAAAACTATACCAACACAGAAGGCATTAGGTTTTGGAATTGGGACCCAACCCATCCATCATTTCTTTGATGGCTTATGCAAATTAGTACACAGAAGGGACGGTCCATATTAACCCATCTGGTTCCTTTAAGCTTTTTTATTTTATGTCAGTCTCAAGCATCCAAGTGGACTGTGGACATCCAATTCTCATGTGATTACTTTTTTAACTTCAATTCACGTCCTTTCCATAAATTTTTACTTATTTGAGCGTCTCAAGATATCTTCTAATATTTTTTTATATTTAATAAAAATTTTTTAAACACCTAATAATTTTTTATTTTCTTTATTTTATTTTTTAATTCTTAATTTTCTTTTTTAAATTTAATATTTTTTATTTTTAAATATTTTTTATCCATTTAATTTTTTATTAATTTTTTTATTTTTAGTATTTTATTTTTTAAAAAAATAATACCAATAAAAGTATTACTTTAGTATCCAGATTTTTTTTCTTTATTTTTCTAGTTTTAACTTTTTTTTCTTAATTTATAGATTAAATTTTATAAATTAAAACAAATCAATAACAGTATCCACTTGACACCCCGTTTGCCTTTCTTTTCTTCACAAATCGGGCCGCTGAGTATGAATGCAACCATTTTCACTAGACCTCAGCAACATAGCACGACTATCATTTGAATCGCAAACAGTATACAATATTTTCTCTTTCTTTAAACTCAAAACTCTTACTCCCTAGTCCCTACCATGGCCTTCTAAAGTTCACAATAGAAAAAATCCACCTCTTGCTTCTTCAAATGCAAACAGAGTTACATGACAGGCGAAGACGTCTCTGTACTGTGTTAACACAGCGATACCCCCTATAACAGTATTGTTAGCTTCTGTCCAAAAAAAAAAACAAAACCGTTGTGCAAATCACTATGAAACGCCATCTTCCCAATAATCAGGGGAAAAAATGGGTAAGGCACCAACCCAACTAAATCCTTCAAAAGCCAAGCCAATCGGAAGCTTCAATCAAGCATTAAGAGCTGCAACCTTCTGGGACAAGGCATCGACGGTCTCATCGTTGGCTTCAGCAATTGTGTTCTCCTGCAGCAGGAAAAATAAATATGGTTTAAATAAGATAGGGACATAACATTCATTCGGTTCCAAAACTAGAAAGTGCTGTCAGTTGCAAATACAAACAGTTGAAGCTTTTATGATAATGGTTTTAAGTTTGTTTCTATTTCAGATTATGTTTTCTGTTCATGCTAAGTTGAGGTTAGTTTGTAAAGAGAGAATGGTCTACTACCTCTGAATCTTTTCTTTCTTTCACAATAACACACTTGGAGGCACTTATGCTAGCACTCTTCAATAGGCTACGAGCACTATAGTTTGGTTTGCTATGGCCATTTTGTCCTTCTTGGTTTGTGTTTTCTGAACCATCTGAGAGCCGAGAAGCTGAAACAGAAGCTGCAGTCCTCTCACTTTGGGCAATATTCTCATCCTTGGGAGCAGGAACTCGCTCTCTGAAAAGAAGATAGCACGGTTGATCAGGCAAATTGAAATATGACACCAGAACTAGACAAACCAGAGTAATGTTCAACATTTAAAGTGAGACAACAGATCCCCTGGCTTTATGGTTTTGAAAAAAAAGGCACAAAACTAATATGATTCCCAAAATTTTACGAGGCATACCTAGGCAAAGAAGCATGCTGTCTTTGAAGTGGAGTACTTCTTTCACCTTTACCATAATGTTCCTCCAAATGTGCAAATTGTCGCTTGAATCGATCAACACCACTATTGAATAAAAAAGAAACGAAAACGTTAATTGTGATGCTAGCAGCAAACATTTGCAACTAGAATTTCCAGATTGTCCCTCTCCCCTCATATTTCACTTTGTTACAGCATGACTTCAATTGAAATTTCATCTACAAAGCTATTCAAAAGGCGTTACTTTGCTAAAATGTATTTAAAGTGTATATGGATTATCTTAAACACCATTTTGAGCAATAAAAGTTAAGAAAGAGTTCCACAAAGTTGTAAGATTTACAATATTGGGACTGTAAACACCTCATGAGGCTAAGCGAGAGTACTCATGGATGTGAATATTTTGCATTTGGTTAGGGTTTGGTGCGACCAAGTGAGAGTGATTATATGTATTCAGGTTTGGGATATACTTTATCACAACTTAAATAAGAAGAAACCCAAACTGTCAAAATCACATTGATGTAGAACTTCTCCCATCTAAGAAAGGAAACAGAACCCGACCAACAACAAAAATGAAGACTATGTACGGCACTGAGAACATGACTTGATATATCAAAGTTAGTTATGAGACTTGTATATTGCTTGGAATGAAGCTCGTATCGATCCTAATATATTTCAGGAAGTGACACCACACTTTCAGAAAACAAACATGACATACTTTTAGGAAAAGAAAAATAGACATATATACATAATGTATGCGTAATACCAGTTTTTTCAGAACCAGACAGGACTGGCAAGTTGAACCGATTGGACAAGGAACTAATGGCCTCTCCGGCCCAGATATGTATGTTGAATTGAGTACAGACGAACTGATCAAAAACCAATAAAATAGGCAGAAAAAAGAAGAGGGTGAACCATTGAACCTAATTAAGGTTGAACTGGTTTTTATTAATTTTTATATTTTCTATTCATTCTTTTATTTTTTTTACATTTAACTAAATATTATCTTACAACCTTTGGAACTGGCTAGTTGAACAGATTAAACCAAAAACTGCCCCTCCACCAGTTCATATACCAGTTAGGTTTTCAAACTATTAGGTAGTACTAACTTTTTTTCTTAGATATTATTGTATCACTATAAAATTCCTTCATAAATGATTTGTCTTTATCTTTGTATCACTATAAAATTCCTTTAGAGGTCAAGTTGATGATAAAACTAAACCAAAACAAAACATGTTCTCATGCTTACAGATCCTAAGAAAAAAAAAATCACACATTTGAAATAGCTAACCATTTCAAATTAAACAAACGAGAAAAGAAAAGTAAATTCAATTATTCAAGAAACTGAAAGATTTTTAAACCTGAAATTCCATATTTTAATGCACATTTAAAAAGAAATGACCATAATAGCTTCCATTCATATGTGTAAAGCAAATATATTCTAGGTGTTTTCTAACCTTGGGTACATGAAGCTGGCCTGATCCCCACCACGGAGATATTCCTGCAGCATCTGCGGATGATACTCTAATATCTGTTCACTCCAAGCCAGAAGTTCGTTAAGCTATATGATAAATAAAAGCCACATAATATCAAAGCAACAAATGTGGAGTACCTCTCGATAAATCAGCTCTCTCACATCGTCTTTTGTCAGCTTTCTTCTCTCAAACTCAAATTCCAGTTTTGAAATAGGTTGAGTGGATGGTTCACGATCCACATTTGCCAAACCATAAAAATATGGATCAGCTAATGCCTGCAAGCATAGTGCATAATCAGTGGCGCTATCAGAAGCTTGTAAGTCAGGATCTAACTTGCTAAATTATACTCGATTTGATGTCAATAGTGAGAGGAATTATCATATCTTTGATGAAGTGAAGCTGGTATGACTTCAAATCAAAGCAGTTGCATTCAAGACCATCCCTTCATTAAAATAGGATTTATATCCCTTTATGTTTTCTGAATATATAAATATGCTATCGAGAAAAAAAAAAATTTTCTCAATTTTAGGGTTATCTCTTGTATGCGTACTTCCTTTAGTTTTTAGTGCTTTTGAAACTTTTTTTTTTTTTAAATCACTCAGATAGCTCAATCTTACTTCTTCAGCTGTGGGGCGATCTTTTGGATCAAATGCAAGTAAGCGCTCAAGTAGGCGAAGAGCCAGGGGATCCACATTAGGGAACTTTTGTGAGAAAGGAACTGGTATCTTTTTACGCATGCTACTAAGGTACCTCCTTGCCTTTTCATTCCGAATCTGCCGTTCATGATAAATAAAGTATTGATGAGTTCATCAGTATTTAATCTCCATTAGAACCTCAAAGACTACAGTGAAGATTGAAAACAGTGTCAGGTTGAAGCAAATGAATATTACTGTTGAATATAAGAAAATAAGATAACTAAGACTAACCCTTGATATGTTTTCAACAGGAGGAGTTCCTAGTGTATCAGTCATGAGATCCAACTGGTGCACCACATTTTTTCCAGGAAATAGTGGTTTTCCTGTAAGCATCTCAGCAAATATGCATCCTATGCTCCATATATCAATTGCAGGAGTGTACTACAAAAGGATAAAAGACTCAGAAAATACATTCATAGCCTATAAAACATATTTAATACAGATACTATACATCAAGAGGCAAATGAAATTTCTGATACTGCACTTCTCATGTTCAAAACATATAGAAATAAACAAATGATTCACCCCTTTCCCACCAACACTCACACAAAAAAAAGGGGCCGACGGAGACAATTTATAGGTGCACCAATAACAACAAAGTGGCTAAATATTCAGTAGAACAGAGCATGGCATGAAACTGTTCATAACATCAATGGTTTCTGTATCCATGACTACAGGTGGGAGTGGAAGAAAATAGCAAAACAATAGGCCTTCAGCTCCTAGACTAGGTGCTAATATGCTCAATTGCATTGCCTATTTAGCAAAGATTTGAGCATACAGAGAATAAACCTATTGATCACATAGCCTTTCTAAGGTCACATTAAATCAAGTTTCTTAATAAAAAGAAAATTTTCAATCTACAAAAAAATTAAATAAATAAACAAAGTGTTTAGAAAGGCAGTTACCATAATCAATCATTGTTAAAAAAGAATTTTAACAACTTTCAGGGAACATGTTAACTTTGTTAAACCAAATTACAAACAGTAAACATTCTTAATACTGCAAGATTCAGCTTCAAGAGTTATCCATGGAAGTGTTGTAATAAAAAAGAAACAATAAACGAGGATTTACAGAAATGGCAACCTCTTGACAGCTAAAATCAAAGAGAATGCCGCAAACTGAAGTTCTGCATAAGTAAGAAAAGTATAAATGGAGAAGTGCGAAACAATCTGCCACCAACCAATTCAAAGACAAAACTTAGAATTAAACTAATTTCCAAGAACTTTACTCAAACATACTGCTGATAACATCAAATTGCACAGTGCATGATTATGCATAAGCATAAAAGATGTTAAAGAAAATGCCCTAATGCGGTTTTTACTATTAAAGAAATTGAATTCAAAGTTCAAACAATCAAAGTCAAGACAACAGTTTCAAGCAAGTTTTACTTGGGACAAATATTAACAATAACTGATCCACAGAAATTAGAAGGGGAAAGGCCAAGAGTATGAAAACATTTCAAGAAATTAAAGCAAAGAAATGCCCATATTTAATGACTAGGTAATCAAAACAGAAAAATATCACTTTGTTCACTTTGAACCATCTCAACAACTGGAAACAGAATATAAAAATGAAAGGCCTAATACATAGAAGATCATAAGCAACTTACTTTAGAGAAAAAAGATCCACAGAGTTCAGGAGCACGATACCAACGGGTCGCTACATAGTCCTTAATGGATTAAATAAGTTTAGTTAGCATAAGCATTTTTGAGGTTACCTTCTGAAACATGGAAAATAAAATAAAATTAAAAGCAAAAATTAAGCCTTTTTGGATATGCTAAGGAAAATCGAATGCAGAAGCTTCAAGATTTCATGATAGAACAACTTACAGTCCAAAAAATTGCTGATGGGGCATCATTAAATGAAACTCGTGCAAGCCCAAAATCGCATATCTTCAACTTACAATCAGCATTAGCAAGGATGTTCTTTGGTTTTAAATCTCGATGGAAAACATTTGCTGCAAGAAATTAAAAGAATTAAAATCAATAATAAAACTAAAGAGTTGGGTAAGCATACTGAAAAGCACTGACCGGTGTGTATATACTTCAGACCACGAAGAAGCTGGTACAAAAAAAACTGATAATGGTCAGGAGTTAAGTCATCATTGGCCTTAATTACTTGGTGAAGATCAGATTCCATCAACTCAAAAACGACATAAATATCTCTGAATTCTCGCCGTGATGGAGGGAGCATAATATGCTTTATTTCTACGATAACCGGATGCCGAAGCAACCGCAGCAGCTTGATTTCTCTCAAAATCCGTGTCGCATCAGAGACATGCTCAAAGACGTCATTAATCTTTTTTATTGCAACCTTTTCACCAGTGTGGGTGTCAATTGCAGAACCAACAACCCCATAACTTCCTTTTCCAATAACCTCCTGAATTTGATATCGACTTGCCTCTCCATACTCGGTGAAAAATTCTGTTTCAAGAGCACCCTGTATGGCATCATTGTTTAGAAACGTCAAAAGTCCTATTCAGAAACAAAGAACAAAAACGGAGACTCACAGGAGATTTATGTATGGAAAAGATAGATTACTGACACTTTTATTTTATTATATCACCGGTGCCATAATAAAACACAAAGAGATGAAGATTAAAGTACACTCTAGATAAGATGAATATGAAATTTCTACCTAAAAACAGTCATTAGAAACTTCAGGGTCATAGATGCGGCCTTCAATAACAATTCCTATTAGCCTTGCAAAAATGACAAGAACAGGCTTCTCTTCATACCTCTCGACAGCTGCTAAAAATAAATTTAAAAATGTACATTAAAAGGGCCTTTGCCCCATACTTTTCCATGTTATGGAATGCTGGATGTTTCAATGTATTAAAATTCAGTTATGAGAAGCCGATTAACAGCCTAGACACGACAATGAGAAGCAGATTCAGAATAATCAAATTCAACAATTTAATTTTCTTTAAAAAAAAAAAAAAGAGAAGGCAAATGGAAGTTGCAATGTTTTATTGAATTAGCAAGCAGGATAATTTTGTGAAATTTGAGTCCATGCTTCTCAAATATGAATCATTATAATACAATAATAAAAAAAAAAAAAAGAGAGATAGAAGAAGATCAACAGAGAAATTTCACTGGACATCACTCAAATGTCATAAATCACACTTAACAAATTTATGTTAATCTATGAATTAATCAACTATTATTAAAAAAAAAAAAAAAAAGAAGTGAATCTGTTTTTATGTTAATCTATGAATTAAAAACATTCAAAGCTATCATCTTAAATGAAGAATGTGTCCCCAATTCAATTTTAGAAGAAGAAGAAGAAGAAGGCAAGAGATGAGATCTGGGAAAAGAAAGAAAATACCTTTTTGTGAGAATCCATGGAAGTAATAAGGAAGTAATTACGCTTAGGAACTTTGATGAGCTTCAGGGAAGAAAAGTTGAAATCCTGAACAATGAGATCGTTTTTATCTTCTTGTTGAGTCGGAGTTAGATTAGAAGTGGAATGATCATGGCGATCGAGAATAATATGATTATTATTTTGGTTATCACTAGTACAAGTAATAAAATGGCGACGATGAGACCAGCGACGAAATCCGTCCACGAGAGTACCACCTCCCCCCATATACTCTCTCTCACTCGGATTCACAGCCAACCAATTCCAGCATTGCCCGCTCCCGATTCCGCTTTCGATGCTGCGGATTGCTTCCTCCCTTTCTATTTTCTCTTTCTCTTCTCTTATCTGCCTTTTCGTATACAACAAAAATAAAATATTCCCATTTTTCTCTTTCTATTTCCCGAGGAGAAGCAAAGGGTGACTTTTTTTTATTTTTTGTTTTGCTGAACAAAAAATAACAGCATGGGTGAAAATATTACTAGTTGTATTTTGAATGTTATAAGGGTCAAATATTCCTGAATTTGAAGGTCGCTTTCACTTGATTGTTTTTTTCTTCTTTGTCAAATTGTGTTTAATGTTTAGGGAAAAATACTAATTTCATCCGTTATCCGCGTTCATTATTTTATTAGGATTTTTGTCTTTGTTTCGCTTAATTAAGATTTTATCTTTAAAATAATTAAATAATATATATGTACATAAATATATATGTATATATACACAAAAATTAAATAATAATTATATTGAAAAAAATTATTATGAAAGGCAAAAGAAATAATGAAATTTTAAAAAGAAATAAAAATGAAATATCAATAAATTTTGTTTAATTTTTAATCATCAATTTATAGAATATAAAAGATTGAAATTAATATAATAATGATTTATAATTTTTCATCTTTCTACTGTTAATTAAATTTAAGTGATTAGTAGAAGATAAATTTTTTGCAAATATGGTTGATTTATATTTTTTCGAAGATTTATATTTAAATTATTAAATAATGAAATATGAAAATCTAAAACTAAAAGGTATCTACTTGGACTTGTACATATGTAAAATTAAATTAGTTTCACACCTTTTCACATCTTTTTATACGATTTATATTTTGCTAAGTCAATCGTTGAAATCACGTTTCATTCCTGCAGATCATACATGTCAAATTTCAAGTAAACTTAAAATGTGTATAATAATAAAATTTCAATAGTTAAAATATTCATATTTTTATGTATAACGTTAAAGCTTTAATAAATATTCAAGTTTATATGTCTTTAATGTAAATATTTTTTTTTATTTTTATACCTTTTTATTTTAAAAATAAAAATCTTCAAAAGAGATATACAATTAATATGACATTAGACTTTTAATAAATAATCAAGTCTCGATATCTTTAGTATAAATATTTTTATTTTTATATTTGTATCTTTCTATTTTAGAAATAAAAATCTTTAAAAGGGACATTGAGTAGAAATTATCATATTGAGATTAGCTCTTACTTGAATGACATAACATTTTTTTTAAAGACTAAGACCTAAAGAAAGAGATTGGAAAAAGAACAAGGTCGATGGTTCAAAAACAAGAATAACTTACAGAATTTTCAAAACTAATGCCTATATAAAAAAAATAGCACTTCACTTAATACAATCAAAATAAAAATAATACTCTAACCATCATTTTAGATCAATTTAAATTCAAAATTAAAAAAAAAAAAAAAAGCTTAAAGTCACATAATAAAACCTTTTTTCATTGATCTTTTAAAGTATATATTGCAAAGTATGGATGACAACAAAAAATTTATGACTAAAATTATTAATAGCTAAATATTGTTATGCCTTATGTCTTATACATGTTATACCTTAATGGCCATGTCAACAACATTATAATTGTTATTGCATTAGTGCATACACGCGACTATCCACATCATCATCCATAAGATATGAAAGGAGAATCAAATCAAGCATGCATCATTTTCAACTCTACACTTTCTCTGCTATCTCTATCTTTACCACCTTCTATCTTTTACTTTTCTTTCATTTCGGGTACATACTGATTTGAGCATTGGAATATGTGCCAAAATCCTAAGTTTGACATCCCTTAACCTTCTTTTTCTCCTTTACTAGTCTAACACACTCTCCAATTTACTCCAACAAACTCCTTCATCACTAAAATTTTTTATCAACAATATCTTTATTTAAATTCCAAGGGTTGGATTTATTTTATTTTTTTTGCATTCATGAAAGTTATATTATGTGTTAGACTACAAAACAGAGTGTCAACTTTCTCTCTTCTTATTAATCCAATCCTTTTTATCTTATCTCAAACTTTTAAATTTTCTAAATGTTAAGGTGAACATTCCCTTGAAACATGAGTTAATTATTTTATGTTATATAACAATTGTTGATTATTGATACATAAAAATTTGTTGATTATTATAATGATTATAAGGAATATAATAAAGTAGTGTCCACATCAAATACTTTTTTTTTAGATTACTAATACTTTAATTTCTAATTATGAAATTTACAAAGAATATATGATCGATGATAATATAAATAGTGTAAATATTTAGATAATCATAATTGTAAAATCATAAAAAAGCTTCATATTTTTCCTTTTTAGATGCTAAAATTAACCAATACAAAGCAATCAAATGAAATTACATAATGGTTTCATGAAATTTTTAAAAAATATGATTTGAGAATAATTTATTTTAAAATTTTCAAATATTATCCTTTAATAATTTTATAATCCATTATAATTTTAAAATAATGATTAAAGCTTTAATTTGACAAACAAATCAAACATGAATAAATAATTTTAGATAAATGGAACACATCATATATAATAAGATGTAAGATTTATTACGTATGCAGTTCATTATATTTTCTAATTTCTATTTGATGAATAAAAACTTGAAAAGAGTAATGAGGGTTTTAACTCAATCTCATCATTTCCTAAATTTAAATAAACTAATTTTATTTACAATCAACAATGAAAAACTCATTATTTGAATTAAAAAAAAAAAGATATTTTAATAAATTAATCATATTTAAATTAAAAATTGTAAACAAAAAATCTCATTATTCAAAATTGCCTAATTATCACTAAACAATCATATATGTGTGAAATGAAACAGTTCCAAATAAAAACTTTTAGAAGTATTTACTAAAATGTAATTTCAACTACAATATTTATGTATATCCTTTAATGTTTTAATATTAATGTATAAAGAAATTAGAAGTTTAGTGAAACTAATAAAATGATTAGCAAATATTCAAAAAAATAAAATATTATTATTAATTCAACTTTCACAAATATTTATTTTTTAATAATGACTACATACACATATAAAAAACATAATGTATTTTAATTATAACTCATTATTTACATACAACCTATATATTTTGTAGAGTCTTTAAAAGTAATAATATTTTTTAATGTTATGTTATTTGCTACCAATTTGAAAATACTCGTGCTCATATTTTTCCCTTTTTTTGTAATTAAAATAAGCAAAAATCAACTGTAAAAAATCATGAATTATTTATATAAGTAACACTTATTATTTAAGCTTTTATTTTTGAATATCTTTATTTAAATCAATCTCAACTATTTATTTTAATTTTTTAAAATATAAATAATATTAATTATAAATTATTATGATAATGAAACCTTTTTTTTTAGCATTATAAAAGTTTACACCATGAAATTGAAAGATCATTACATCTTTTTAAAAATAAATTATTTTTTTGTGTCAAATAAATGATTAAACTAAAAACTTTGTTAAAAATTATAATAAGTGAATTCTTTTTCTCATTTTTATATCTATGTAGACATTTAATTTCGTTTGGATCTTTCAATTGAATTGTTGAGATAATTTTAATTTTGTTGAATTCAAAGGTTAATTCAATTATTTTGTTTGATTTTGGCTTCATACTAATTCTAATTTAGTTTCATTTTGGACTTTTAGACGCTTGAATTATTTATTGGATCTTCATCAATTGGGCTTTAAATTGGCCAATTTTGGGCTATTAAATTAGTGATTGGGCTTTGAGCCCAATAGGTGCAGTAGATAGTTTTTTTATTATTCATTTTATTTTATATTTAAAAAAAAGGAAAAAGTAAAATCAAAAATCAAAAAAGACATTTTAGAAAACATGTTCTTGCCCCAGAAAAAATCGTAAAAATATCCTGATATTCTTGGATCAACTCTTGATAAAAAGAAAACTAAATCATAAATAAAAGGTAATACTGACACGAATCAAATATTTTTTTAAAAGAATAAAAAATCAAACCATAAACTTAATAGAATCGAATCTGTCATAGACAGATTTCATCTTTGTCATTCAATATAAATTGCTAAAATTCTTAACAAAAAGCTCTAATAAACTCCAATCAACCAAGTACAATGGACAAAAAAAATGCACACACAAAGAAACACATTGATAAGAGAACAGAGAGTAAAAATAAAGGGCTGGAAATGGTGCTATTTTTTGCAACGAAGCAGTAAAGGAGGTAGTTGTACTCTTATAGAACCCAAACAAAAAACCAGTGGTAGTAGCGAGATTGACAATTTACTGCGTCTAGGTTGCTGGCTTTCATTGAGTTCTTAAAATTGGGAGAATTTAATGAGGAGGAGGTAGGGGAACGTGCTTGCCAAGTGCCATTGATAAAAAATTTGAAAGAAAGTAAAAAGGGGGGACTTGAGCCAATTGATCAAGAGATTCGGCCATAGCAATTCAAGTCCAAATACTAAGCCCATTGGGAATTGATAAGCCTAATATTTGCTTCGGGTTTCTTCTTAGGTTTTATCCAATTCTCGGTAAGTTTTAGTTTATGTGTTCTATTTATTTGCTTTATTCATTTTCTTTTACATGAATTTAAATTTTTTAAAATTAAGAACATGTTTAAGTTGGTAGTACCAAAATGAAAGCACAAAATATGATTTAATAAATTTGTAAATTTAATTTTTCTTGTATAATTCTATTATCATTTATATCACATAAATTTGATTAGTAAGTAAAATTTTTCTAATAATGGAATTAAAAGAAAATCACAAGTAATGAATTTCTAGTGAATTTCTTGGCAATTTCTAAGTGAGGAATTTTTCTTAAATCTTGCCAAAAGGATAAGGGGAATTAATAAATTAATAAATGAAATTCTCCAATGATGGAATTAAAAGAAAATCACAAGTGGTGAATTTCTTGATAATTTCTAAGTGAAGAATTTTTCTTAAATCTTACCAAAAGTGTTGGAAAAGATTTTATAAATGTTTAAATAAAAAGAATTTTTATTTATTTTCTCAAAAAATTTAATAACTGTAAAAATTCTCTAATGATATAATTAAGAGAAAATCACAATTGGTGAATTTCTTTATATTTTTCTAGATGAAAGATTTTTCTCAAATTTTGCCAAAAATGGTGGGAGGATTTTCGAAAATCTTCAATAAAAGAAATTCTTATTTATTC